AAAATCATGGTTTCGGTGATCGACGCTTCCCCCTTTTGAAGCAGGACAGGCACGCGCAATTATCCTGATCCTGATCGTCTGGTTCCAATTAACGAGACTTGGAGAAACCGGCATAGCCTGATGTCAATCATCTCGTTAATTTAAGCTGCTAATAGGACATTTGATTGACTTTGCTGAACCACGTACGAGGAATGGGGCCCTGGACCAGATCCTGCAGGAACCTGAAGCCCTCAAACCTGTTGAGTCACAACAACACAGTTCATGAATATTCATGTTTATATATATGGTCTTCAGGTCAATGAAGCTTCTTCTTCTTCTTCTGAGTTTTATGGCGGTTGCTTCTATAAGTGTTGCTTTAGTGCCACCTGCTGGACTGGCTCTGGTTTCTTTATTTATGTGTGAACAGCGAAGAGGAGGAGGAGAAGGAGAAGAAGAAGGAGAACAGATCACAATGAGAGAGAAAAAACTTCTGATACAAACTCAGTTTTTAATAAACTCAAGTTTATTATTCAAGTAACAAAAGAAAAGTGACATTTATTTACACACATGTACAGATAGTCCAGCTGGTCCTGGATCAGACTGGATCAGAAGAACAAACTAACAGCAGATGAACTTTAACAGAGTTTATATTTACAGACTAGAACCTGAAACACATGAAAACAACTAGAACTGATCCGAGACAAGAACATCTGGAACATCAGGAACGCTGAGGACCAACCTGTGTAGAGACAGACAGGTGTAGAGAGAGACAGGTAGAGAGAGAGAGAGACAGGCATGTTATATTGACGAGTCCTCAGCTCTACTTCCTGGTCCTCTCATGGTGGTCTGAGGACAGACTAACAGCTAACTGGTTAGCATGCTAACATCAGTAGATATGAACATGTAACCTCTTCATCCTGAAGATGATGATGGTTAATTTATTCATGTTTCACAACAAAAGTCACTGTTTTAATTTAATTTTAAATTTAAAAGGTCCTCTGAGGTCACTTACTGTCCATCAGGTCAGCTGATCACACGATGGTGGAAGGACTGATGACCGGGACAGCTGTCTGAGGACAGACCGGTAGAGACAGACAGACCGGTAGAGTTACTCTAACATCTGAACACATGGGGAGTTTGATTTTCTCTTTTATCTCTTTCATAAGTGACGAGAAGTTCAACAACAACAGACTGAGTCTTTGTGAAACAATGCGTTCTTATCGTCGTCTCTTTGGTCCTTAAACATATCTGAAGTATTCTCTTTGACTTAGAGACTGTGTGTCTTTAACTTGTAGTCCTTCACTCTGGACTACAACTCCCTTGATGCTTAATGATTGACACACGTGTTCACCAGTGAAGGAGGTCTCTGGACTCACAGGTGAGATGAACTGGCTGCTGAGGTGCCGTCTGTTGGAGGAGGAGGATGATGATGAAGGCTCCTCCTGCAGGAGAGAGGAGATGCAGCCACTGTCTGAGGAGCCAGAGAGACATCGAGAGGAGCCAGAGCTCTCTGTGGCTGAGGGAGAAAACATAACGTTATTATAACGTTATTAAACCTGTGTGTGTGTGTGTGTGTGTGTGTGTTAACGTACTCATGGAGGGCTGGCTGCTGGTCTCCTGCTCGTCTTCCTCGATGCAGGAGGTGATGAAGGAGCCTTCAGCAGCAGGAGAGGAGGAGCGATTCTGACTGCAGGAGGAGAAGAAAGGTTATAAAACCAGGACAGAGGTGTGTGTGTGTGTGTGTGTGTGTGTGTGTGTGTGTGTGTGTGTCCTACCTGTACATGTGTAGGTTTAGAGGTCCCAGCAGGCTGGATGAAGAAGGTCCTGATGTTGAGGGGTCAGAGCTCACCGCTCCTCCATTAAACGGGTTAGAGTGATCGAAGACAGAGACGGCAATGGACGCCCGCGTTCTGGCTCCTGATCACGAGAGTCATGAGACGATTGATCAATAATAAATAATCAATAGAAAACACTTTGATGTTTCTGTTTACGGACTTTTAATACTTTCTAAATGATGGATTTCAGTCATTGATAATACAGCTGATAACCTATTAACATGGCATTTAACATTAACACCAATACATATAATGTAAAAAATATTCATCCCTAGAATAAAGAACACATTTATTTATTATCAACTTGTTTGTAATAACATTAGTTATTTTTCCCCCTAGTCTCTTTATTAATGGCATTTCTTCCTGATACATTTTAGAGAAACTAATGCAAGCTAGCGTTAGCAGCAACCGACTAGCCAGTAACCGTACAGCTAGCTGCAACTCTCTCTTCAGTACCATCTACGCAATCTACCTCATCTACGCAATCTACCTCATCTACGCAA